TGTTTAGTCTAGCGCATGCTTCTACTCTGATCAATGTTCAATGCTTGCTCTTTCTCTTTCTCTCGTTATAATATCTATTCTTGTCCTCTCTCGTTCTACGCTGGGTATATAAAGAGTAGACGAGAGAGAATAAAGGCATTCTGGTGTGAAGTAAGCACTAAAATCGTTACAGAAATATGTCCGAGTAGTCGAAAATAAATGTGCGGTGGGAAAATCCTTCCGAGAACTCGATATCCGATAGCCACCGAGGGGTTCGAAATTCGAACAGAACGATAAAAAAATGTATATTCAAGTTTCGACCACTCGTCGTACCCATCGTTGACTTTTCGAGGTCTGCTTGGGTGTGAAATAACGATAAAAAAATCTCAACAACCGCAATAAAGGAAAGGTGGAAGACATTAAACACATTCCCGATCTGAAAAGAAGATAAGCAGTCAAATAGGATTTCGATTATCTGACCAAATTTACTTGATCCTTATTGATTGGACGAATTTGGTCGAACAATTATTTGTCTACATTTTCAAGGAAGTAATTGGCTCTGATGATCAATGCCAAATTTTTTCCCACTATTCTGGTTGTTAACGCGACAACTGTGCTCAATGAACTTTTTCAAGATGTTCGAATGTGAGCGGTGAACTTTTCGCTGATTGAATCAGGAGAGTTAATAGTTTATCCATTTGCGTTCGACGACTAGCTTTTAAATAGGAATACTGCTCAAGTAGTCACTATCGCTGAATTCTTTCCAGAGTACAAAGAGATTGCCATCTTTACTTTCTTTTTCTCCTTTCAAATCACACCTTGTTTGCTTTATTGTTGTTTCAAAAAATCCTCTAATCAATAGGAAGCTTGCAGCAAAGTTTTGGAGCGTGTAATTTATTTCCTATTGGCGGCAATCACATATGTTGATGCCAATTTGATTCCGATTTCGTTTGTTCTTGCCGAGTCAAGATAGCTGTGAGTGTGAGGTTCAAATTTCTACCTTATACATTTCAACACCCCTTTTATATCATATTTCACAAATATATCCACTAAGTCATTAGTTTTTCATAAACAGACGTCAGTATAAACAAAATTTTATTAATATGATATTAGTTAAAGAATGATGAAATACAACAGAGAAGAAGAATATTGTTTTCACTATCATTACATAGGCAACAAAAGTTTTCACAAGTTTTTTATATGGAAATAAAGTATCTCCGACACGATTCTTCTATTACTCTAGGTTCATTAAATAAAAAATAAAGTACAGCAATGATGTCATAAAGTGTTGAAAGTAATTGAGGAAATTGATCTCACAATGGAGGTTTCTTAATAATGATCTGTTCAGCTTGTAAAAGATTTTTCAAAGGGTGTGGGGTATGGTGTAGGCGTGAAGAGAATTCGAACACCACACTCACACCAGCATTCTTAAATGAGGAGAAGGTTAACAATCCACAATCCGAGATGTTAGTAATTTTCAGATCGATGTGCAAGTAGCCGTTCGTTACAAATTCAGCTTTTTCTTATCATTTATTTACATAGATATAATGGCGTGATAATTCTAAATTGTTAATATCTGAAACATTATAATTACAGAATCTTCTTTCAAAGCTGTTAGCTCTAACAGAATTACGCCTATTAATCATATAGTACACAAATGTCTCGAAGCGATGTGCAGATTGCGCATCAAATAGAAGGTTTTTTCTCAGAAATCGTGGAAAATATCATTTTGATATAGGCGGAGGGATCCATTGATTCTATGCATCTGTCATTGACAAGAAGAAATAAATGCTGGAGTTTAGCTGCTTCTGATTATCAAGAAGGAACACAATATTGTTCTATTTCAGAAAAATCTGACCAAAGAGTTTAAAAATTTCGTTTTGTTTTTCAATTCTACTTTTTTCTGGAGTGAATTAAAATAATTATTTTTCTTTCAACTTAACAATATCTTTATTTATAAATATATGTGCGAGCAACATTTTTTATACAAAAAAAATATGTACAGAATGGCAAGTCTCTGAGAAAAAAACACCATCAGACACAAAAGTATGTACATAATAAAAAAACTACAATGAATTCGCATATATAGCACAACATAGCTAATAGCTAGCAATCCATGGACATGTTTCCTTAAAAAGAATGTATTTAACAGCTTCAAAAACATCAAGTTGAATTGTTATTGGTAATTTCCTTGGTTTTTTACCATCCAGCTTCTGTTTATTTGGTTCATAAACACCTGAACATACTAAAATTGACTCACATGCTGCTGCACTTAAAAACTGCGAATCAGATAGTAAACTGTAACCGCGAATGCCTGTCCTCAAGTTCATAGATTGTTTTAATACATGATCATACATATTTGCACCAACAATATGACCATCTGGATTATCACCAATGAAATAAACTTTTTCAATTTGTGGTTGATCATTCACTAATGCTATTTTATTAGCTATCATTTCAGCATATTGATATTGAATTGAATATGTTTTACCAACAAATGCTGTATATTTAAGATCATTTCCACTGATGCTCTGCAATGAAATAAAAGTTCATAGACTTTTGCTTGTGTGAATGAAAAAAAATTGATTTACTTTATATAATCTTTCTAAACATGTAAGAAAAGCACCCCGACCAAAACGTGGTAAATCTACAGCAGCTTTAAATACAAGATCTGTGTTACAAGCAATCACAGGTATATGATCATGTTGAGTATTTGAATCAGCTGGTACAACAGCAGGATTACCATCAGTCAGAAGGGTGTGGGTGGATATGGGTGTGGTTGGGTGGGAGTATGGACAAACAAGAAAAGATACTCACACTCACACACCCACACCCACACCCACACGCTATTTCATCATTGTAGAAACACATTTACCAGAAAGTAATCACATATTATGCAAGCTCTTGAAATGAGCTATAGTCCCATTATGTTCATCTATTGTCTTGTACTCAAGGCTGAAGAATAATTGTAATATCATAAATAAATCTTCAACTGACAAACACCACAAATCTGCATTATTCTGAGTCTTAAGGGTGTGGATGTGAGTCTCAGAATTTATCTTTTTTCTCTGATACTCACACTCGCACTCACATTCATACTCACACACACACCTCACCACCTACACACCACCCACAACCTACATTCACACGCACCAAACCCTCAGTTTCTGTGCTACACGTCTAAATGTAAGGGTGATCAGTACTAATTTGATATCTATTCCTAGCATCCACAAGCGACTTTTCTGCTCTATCATTCTCACAATAAATCGACAAAGTAGCTTAAAAGTATCTGTAAAAACGCCGCCTGTTGACCCTTTATTACCCTGCAAGGGAAAGTGCTCGCACCATAGTTCTCTTATCAGCATGTCTTTTCATTCTCGTGTGCACAGAAGAAAGAAATGACCACTCGGCAAATATGTCGCACGTATCTTTTTCTTCGGATAAGATTGAAAGTATAGTCTTGATGACAGACGAACACACCGAGATATAGCGGGTTTTTGTGCAAAATCTAAAATCTTGAATCAGTTAATTGAAATTAGCTACGTATTATAGACGCATAACACGGCTTTGAATCTAAAAAATCGATAACGAATTAATAAGAATAATTTTGTATGATTAAGGATATGAACAAATGATCTGTTGGAGCTGTTGGATATGAATGAAGAGGTGACTTTCACAACTCGCATCCCAGAATTGGACGGCTCGATAAGTTGTAGTAAAATATTATAATAATCTTTGCTATCGACCGCGCTCACTTGATTTCCTTCGAGCACGAGAAGTTGTGATGGCGACTTTGTCTTATTTCAGAAAGAATTATACATTCCCCGCAATGGTGTTCTTTTGTATCCACCATAATTGCAATCGCTGCGACATAGTTTTGAACCTGAATGACAGGCGAGAAGTCGAGATAGAACATTTACTGATAAGAACACGGGACCCGATTATGCATAAATCTTATTGTACTGGAGAAAGATAGTTGACGAAGAAGACGTCTCTGTTTACAATAATTTGATACGCCACTGTGAGCTCCAATAGAGCTTCTCACATTCGATTCCGTTCAGTGCTTATTTCCAACTATGCTTTGGGTAGTGTTTCATTACTGTATTGAATTACCCGATAAGACACACAATGTCTTGTTTTTATATGCGCATAAGAAGAAAAAGGTATAATGGAAATGGAGAAAAAAAACTCGATCATGTTTTTTTTTCAATTAGTATCGCAAGTCAAGGGTATAGTTGATTGCTCGTTCTTGCTGCGCGTTACCTTCGTATAAAATGGTACTGATACTATCACATACATTCCCCAATATGTGTGAAATTAGTCTAGCAAAAAAAGAACTCTCATAATTTTTGTTTTTTCATCTTGTTGAAATTGCGTGCCGTCATCACTATACAGGTCTTGTTATATTCGCTCAGTGATAGTAAGTATACGCACACAAATGGCCGAACCGTTCGGTATACAAGAACTACAAGACGCCTTCGACATGTTCGATACTGGTATAGTTTATTTGCTTTCTAGTAAACTTGAAAATTGTCAAGATCTTTAATACAGATAAATCCGGTAGAATTTCAAAAGATGAACTCATCAATGTGTTTAAAGTGCTCGACATAGAACTTAACGAGCGCAAACTGGAGGTCTACATGGGTATGATGGATCCCGAAAAAACAGGTATATGCGTAATTTCTTCTTGATATTAAATGCACGTGGCCTTTGTTATCGAATGATTTAGGCGAAATCGATTTTGCCGGGTTTCAACGTCTCTTGAAACATGACTTCGTTATTGAGCAATCGCCTGACGACTTGCGCGCTCTGTTTGCTGAGTTTGACAAGGACAAGTCGGGTTTTGTCGAAGCTAACGAACTCAAAGAGGGCCTGGTCAAAAGGGGACTCCGGTTCACAAAGGCGGAAATCAACGATCAGATAGCTTCTCTGGACACCAACAACGACAAGAAGTTGTCTTTTGATGAATTTGTCAAACTGTTCAATCAAAAAGTGTAAACAAACAACATAGAAAGTTCCACGATTGTCGATCAACTAGAAATCAAATAGACAAAAAAGAACCGGAAAGTCATTGTTTTTATTGCACAATAGTTCTGCAAATACAAAAATAAAAGTATAACGGTCCATTTTTTATTATGCTTTGATCTTGAAGTCAAATCAACAGTCATCTACTCGATTTTATCGGTAGCTCTGAATCAATATGATAGCTCAGAAACAAACTCAAGGATGTGAGTGTGGATGTCGGTGTGAGTGAATATGGGTTTGGGTGAGGGTTTCGGTGAGGATGTGGGTGTGGGTGTGTAGGTGTGAGCGCGAACATTCTCTTGAACATACCCACAACCACACCCACACTCATTTCCGAGCGTCCCGTTGTTGTAGCGTCGAATGCAGTCAATCGACATTTTGGTCAGTTTCATAGCAAAAATGAGAAAAACATACAGATTCACCTGTTCTTGCATAAGACTACTATTCATGTGTTCGATAAAAGCTTCTGAATTTCAGTCCTCGATAGCACAATTAATGAATAAACATGCCTGAAAAAACCAGAAGTTGAAATTCTTCCAACTGGAAATAAGAAAAGTCGATTTATTGGAGAAAATAATATATTTTTTCATAAAAAAAAAAGTAAAAAATTAAAATCAGAAATAGCTATCCATATTTTTAGAATTTCTCTTCAGAAATATATCCGATTGAGTTGAAAATTTCATAAAGTACATAATTCATCACCCTTTACAACATATCAAAGAATCAACCAGTTCTAAGATATCACTCCATCGTCGATATCTGCGCCTCTCAGAAGCTCACTCTTAATATTTATGCATGAAATACTGCTATTTATGTATATATACGGGTCATTTGTACCGGTATACTGTAATCATTAGTTTACCTCAGCTATAAATTCATATAACTTACGCAATTGAATAGATGAGTGTTTGAACGGAACAAATGTTGTCAGTTTAGTTTTTATTTTGATAATATTGTTAAGGCAAATGGTTTGTAAAAAATAATATCAGTAACGAGATGAAAAAAAGCGCCAGTGCTCAGACTTAATAATGATTGCTTATCAGAAATTTTAGAATATGTTAATCAATTCAACTTTTGCAAGAGTACGAAAGTTTAACATAATAGGCTGAATGATTTCAGAATTTTACTGACACTGCTCAAGTTATGTCTTTTATATAAAATCCATTAGAATACATTATAAGAAATACTTATTTGAAAGGCATTCCTTTATTGTGGTCATATGGAAAATAAAACTACAATGCAGTTGACTTTTAGAGTACTCTACACTTTATCTAAGGGTGTGGGTATGAGTTTTGCTATGAACCTTCTTACCACACACACCTACCCCCACCTAGCCGCACGTCATTTCCTCATCCCACGCCCCACATCCACACCACCCACATCTACCCACACTCTCACCCACATCTACCCACACTCTCACCCACATCTACCCACACTCTCACCCACATCTACCCACACTCTCACCCACATCTACCCACACTCTCACCCACATCTACCCACACTCTCATCCACATCCCACAAGAACTCAAAGAAAAAACGTTTAAACATTTTAACAGGATATTAAGTCGTTAAAACAGATACTTGTTTGAGTTTTCGCGTTCAACATTCTGAGTTCGTTCAAACGTGAAATCTCAAATTAATAAACGCGTTTTTGTTCGCTTTTATTGAGCTGGTTTTACTGCATTAATTATCAATTACTTAATTTTGTCATTTTTTCGAACGGGAGTTAACAGGCCTGAACTGTCTGGCTTTCATAATAAAAAAATGAAAAGTTCAATTTTTTGCAATTGAAGAATGCACTTCCAAGGAAAGCGATTGCAAATAACTACTCATGTGATGCAACCCAGATGAAAACTTTTGATATATCGATCGATACAGTACATGCTATACCGGAAGTTTACTATCGTTTTTTCTGAAAAGTGTTGTACCGTAGGTGTGGGTGTGTGAGCGTCCAATAGGTAACCTTAAGATCCCCGCAACACACTCACATCCTCTAGATGAGTTCTGGGATTTTTTCATCGATTATGTGAATGAAATCTTCATCAGAAATCTCAATGGATTGGTTTTTGAATTTTTAGAAGATCATAGTTCAGGTCAAAGGTCGGTAACCCATGGGTTGACTTTCTTCGACTCGAACCTGCTCATTAAGACATCTGCGTCTTATATTCATGTAGATGATAAACCAAAATCGTCTCTAGTTGTTGCTATAATAGTCTTATACTCTTGTCAGTGACAGCATCTGAAGAATGACCTGAATAGGATACATCATCAATCTGCAACGTAGTCCGTCAAAATAAATAAAACCAATTGATTAGCGCAAAAACGGAATGCGTTAAGTCGTGCAATGCTTACAATAAATAAAAATAACTGTTCCACTAAGCTGAACAAATTGCTTTTCATTGTAGCTATTCTGAGACATTCGTAAGCATTATGATGGAATGTTTGGATCTACACTGAAGTGTGTTAGGTGAATTAGGTGAAAAAGAAACTTGATGAATAAAAGAAAAGAAAAAGATCAACTTTTATTTAGAAACAAATTTCTGATTTTCTTTTCATATAAGTAAGACTTCTAGTAGTCACAGACTGGCAGCGAATAAAGTCTGATCTTACTTGATTCCTTAGAGGGAGCGCAGTCACAGTGCACAAGCCAATGCTTGTGTTGTAGCCAAAATGGTGTTTGAAATGGTTCAATTAGTGTTTCGATTAAAGGCGGATTTTCATCACAAAAATTTGTTTCGAATAAAAATTCGAATTTATCTAAAAGACGAAGATTCTCTTCAATAAATTTTTCCCATACAGATCCATTGGAAAGTGATTTGAAAGTTAAATTACTATTTTCGTCGAATATAGTGACTATTATTTTTAAATGGACTAATGATGGTGTGTGTTCAAGAATTAATTTGATGCTTTCAAATGAAACGGACCTTGTGATTTGAATTCTAAGTGATGATAAGTGCAAATGTCGTACTAATTCGTTTTTATTGATGTCCATCATCACCAAATATGCTGTTTCAAATGTTCGTAAATGAGATACATGTTGAAGAATACTGAATAATTCTGTACTTGTACAAACGCGAAGTGCGATATGTCGTACAAAGGATTCAACAGGCCATGTTATTGTACCTCTTTTGTTACTCATTGCCCTTGATTCGAACTTGCGAAGTGTCGGCAATGCCAAAACTAACGGAAGGAAGCTCAAATTTGGCTTCGAGTAATGACTATATGGATCTATTGATAAAGAATTGAGCGAGCAACTGAGGACGTGATGCAAAAATTCGTATAAATGCACATTTTCAATATTTATAAGAGTCAATGAACGAAGGCGAATAAATTGATGGATATTGAGGAGTGACAGAAATAATCCGATTGCATTCGGTGTCGTGTCGCAACCGTTAAGTGTGAGTGAAATGACACTTTCTGGCTCAATGAGATCACAGATAAGATGAAAATCTTACTCTATGATGGATCTAAAGTCGAATGCATATCGATCATATGTATTAGCAATAGTAGCGAGTTGTTTGCAGACATTGCGAACTGAAAGAATTATTGTGTGACCATCGAGATAGTCAAGAATACGGTACAGAATCTCAACGGGTAAATTGAGTAATTGCATGGAAGCTGCGGTAGACATATTTTAAGAGAGGGTCCACGAGCTGATTGAGCATCGTTTCAATATACAAGGCACTCGATAAAATTTTTTTTTCGATTTTTTTTGCTCATTCGAAACTTCAATGTCTAAAACTACTAACCCTAAAATTTCAGGTTCTAATACCCTTTCTATGGAAAGTTAGTCAATACCGACTTTTAGCACTATCACACCTTTTTGGAAAAAAAAGAGAAAAAATATTCTATAAAAGATGTACTAGCTTACATTTCAACAGCTTGTCGAAAATTTTCACGATATACATGAGAAGATAGAGAATTAAAAGCTGAACAAAATAAGCTATTTTGATATAATATAATCTCTAACAATTCTAGTTTTATAAAGCTGATATGAGTCAAAGGTAGTCATTTTGATCAGTNAATTTGTCCCTCCAGCACCTGAACAAGTACTACAACGGCTCCCAAAAGAAATCGAACAGATGAAAGAGAAAGTTTCAGCAGCTTGGAGAAGAGCGACCAAAACTATAGGACGAGACCCGCCGACAGTAATGAAATTTTGTGAACGAGTAGAAGATGAAATAAAGAAAACAGTAGCAACTGAAGCACCAAGAGACCCTACATTAAAGTCGGCAATAACATTCTTCCGTAAGATTCAAAAAAAGAACGATATTATATTTAGACAAACAGACAAATCGAAAGTATTTCATACTGATACGAGAGAAAATTATATTAAAAAATCAGAAATATACATGGAAAAAAACAAATGCATATATAGAGATACAATCATCACCACTAAGAGAAATGATAGAAAAAACAGATAAATTTCTACGTAAGTTAGTTTCAAGTAAACGAATGCCTCAAGCACTATTAAATAAGTTAAGACCTTCTCTAAAAGAATCAGAATTACCTCACCTCTATTACAATCCAAAAGACCATAAAATAGGCGAGCCACTCAGACCTATTGTAAGTGGAATGAAATCTCCCCTAACTAAATTATCGAGTTTCCTCGATCAAAATATTCGACCGTTTTTTGACCGACACACACCTTACTCAATTCCTAACTCGATGATTTTTCTAAAACGCTTAAGAGAATTTAAAACAACAAATGAAACAAATATGTACACATTCGACGTTACCGATCTGTATACTATGATTCCACAAAGAGAATCAGTATTAGCAGTATGCGAATTTCTAGGAAGATACGGGTACAAAAAGATTTGTGGACTAGCAATTAATACAATAAAAGATTTACTTCTTCACGTACTAGAGAACTCATACTTTGTCCTACAATTACCAGGATTAAAACCTAAATATTACCAACAGATTAGAGGAGGAGCAATGGGATCGGCATGCACTCAGGTATTGGCCGATAGCTATATTCGAAAATGGGAACGTGACTTTGTGCATGAACAACATAGACAACATGAACTGTATTTTCGATTCCGAGACGATATCTTTTTTACTACTAAACAATCCCCAGAACAAATAGAAAAAACCTTGCAAGAATTAAATCGAAAGGATCCCAATATAAGTATAACATGGGAAAGTGGAAAAACAATAGAATATTTAGATGTTAAAGCTACTATAGAGATCCCCAACTTTAGAACAACAGTTTTCAGAAAATTAGCAGCCCAACCATATGTACTACCGTTCCATTCAGCACACCCCCCACATATAACAAGAAACATACCATATGCAGCAGCATTACGTGCGACTCGTATATGCTCACACCCTGAAGATTTACAATGCGAATTAGAAACGATTAGGATAACATTACTTTTGAACAAATACCCACCCAAATTCATAGATAAACACATAGACCGTTTCTTCTACGACCTAACAGGGAAAAAAACATCAGAGATACTCTTAAATAAGGATCATTCGAAATTCAGAGAACTAGTGTTAGATACAGCATGGAATAAAAAAGAAAAACGAAAAATAGATTTCGGTACAGACATCCTCTTACATTTTACATATGCACCGTCATTAGTAAATTTCGGATCACATTTCCATCAGATATGGCAAGAGATATTCGAAGGTACGCCATTAGATGACGTACCTGTCATATATGCGAATCGACTCACCGATAGTCTAAAGCATATACTAGTACAAAAAAAGCCGAGCAAAGAAGCAATAAGGCTACTACCAACATCATCAGAATCAGAATAAAGAATAAAGAATAAAAAACATCATCTGAATCTGAATCAAAACAAAAAAGACACAACTAGCAGTCGTAATTGACAAAAGAACAAAAAAGAAAAGAAAAAACGTAATCAACATCTAACATAAGAAAGACAACAGGGTATAACAAAAGAAGCTAAAAATGAAAGATAAAAATAAAAAGAAAAGATTACTAACAAAAAAGAAAACCTCAATTAATTGTAAAACACATATCTCATTTTCTTTCTTTTTCTCTCTTTCTTTTCTTTTTTTTCTCGGAATTAAAAAACCTTACTTTTATATATTGTAAAACGCTTCCTCTCACCATTGTATTTATGACTCTTTCGCTCTACTCCCATTATTTGTAAAATCGTCTCCCCCTACTCCCATTATTTGTAAAACTTATCTCTCCCTACTTGAATTTGCTCTGCCTATTTCGACTTCGGAATAATGTATCCAAAAAATATACTATCAACAACACATTAAATTGCATTAAAACACATGAGAATGCATAAATGTACATTAAAATGCATTAAAAACACATGAAAATACATGAAAATATATTAAATTGCATTGAAACGCATTAAAACGCATGAAAATGAATTAAAATGCATTAAAACACATGATAATACGTTAAACTGTATAAAAATAAAAAACGCGTTAAAATCGAATAAAATCAAATAAAATCGAATAAAACGCATTAAATTACATTAAAACATATTAAAACACATTATCAAAAGATCTTTTAATATAATCCACTGCGGTACATTGAAATCAATCAGGAATGCATGGAAACGCATTATATGTCTAAGAATTAAAAAAACTACATTATAAAACAAGCACCAAAAACTCCATATGAAATGCATCAAACAAAACATGATCACACTATTTAAAAATATACAAAAAACGAATATTCAAACTCGTTGTTCCTGCAAGATCCAATTGAACTTTCAATTTTAATTGTTCTCCCTAAAGAAATCGCTTGAAAAGAAATAATTCGAAAGGCCTCGCGTTATCCTCATACTCTATTTAATTATTTATTTTTCTCCTTGTCTTTTCTCTTTTTTCTCCTTTTTTTCTTTCTTATTATTTTTCTCTTTTCTTAAAAATAATAAAATTAGTTTATAAAAAAAATTAAAAAAACAAAAAACAAATTCTATTAATATTTATTATATTTATCGTTATTCTCTTCTTTATTATACATTAACAAAATATATAATTATCCTAAAATTAAAAATTTGTGTTGACTTGTCAAAATAAAAAAAATCAATGGCAGATTTAGTGACTCCGCCACTCGTTCGTCAAGAGATTTCATTTATTCCTACAATCCAATTAAGAGCTTCAACCTATGGTGCAATCATCGGAGAATTAGTGTTTACTTCATACTTCGCAGCTTCAAATTATGATGAAAAAACATTTTTTATTTATGAACCGATACCAATTCCGTTTAACCATGCACATAAACGTGTTAGACTTGCTCAAATGCCAGCATACATAGACATTCATCCAGATTCTCGTCAATTTGTTCGATGGTCCCGAGAAGAAGCAGAAATTTGTTGTTTTGAAGTGATGACATCATGCCGTATAACACCAGTTATCAAAAAGGATCTTGAGGACACGTGCATTTATCAAGTTTTAATTGATACACCGCTAACAGCATGCCACATTGAACCTTATCCAGATTTAGTATTTGTACGTAAAATTGGAGATTATTGGGCAATCTCCATGAACTCCACAACAAAATGTCATTCAGCCAACAGTCCAGATTCAGATCAATACAAAGTAATGCATAACCATGCAATTACCCTACCTCCAACCGCATTAATTTCTACCAAAACCTCTATGGCTTTATCATGTGATTTATTTTACGTACCAGGACTTCCAATCCAATCGAAATCAAAACTTGTTTTATATCAAAACGAGACAATTGATCCTGTTGAAGAAGTCATTGATCTACACTCTTTCATTCACAACAATACTAATTGGGATAAATTACCGTGCATTCCATCTCATGTCCAAACTACCATTGACCTTATCGCTAAAACGACTCAACCTCCTGAGGTCCTCTTTTGGGGACACTTCAAAACACATGTGACACTCACTTTCAACATTCTATTGATAGGAATATTAGTTCTACTGATCATTTTTCTAATATGCTACATTCGTTTTAAATTTCAACGAAAATCAAAAGTCAAAATTAATATCCCATCATGGAAAATACTAGAACAACAAGAGCTAGCATCTTCAAAGTGACAATATTCATTTCTATTAGCGTCAAAATATATCACCATTTGACGCGAAACTTATTCTTTTGATCTTTTTCTCTCTTTCATCCTTCTAATCTCAGTTTGATATGAGTCATTGCTAACTTGTTTTGCCTTCGACTTTGTTGTTGTTTTTCTCTATTCTTCATCATCTCTTTTTGCTATATGTTTGACAAAATAAAACATTCTCAACACTTCCTACCACAAAAGCCCGACCAGAAAAAACGACTTCAGAGTCGGATTCTCGGCCCTCGAAAACCTATAGCAAAGATTCATCAAAACGTCGAAAATCCTTAAAATGAAAAAGCTCATTTCTGATTGGCCGGTTCCCGACCAATGAAAGCTCGGCAAAAAAAAGCAACTTCAGATTCGGATTCTCGGCCCTCAATAACCTATAGCGAAGTTTCATCAAAACACCGAAAACCCTTAAAATAAAAAATTGAGGGTGGATGTTTTTTTGACCTTGACACAAACAACGTACAACGTACATACAAACAAACTATTTTTTTTCATATGACCCTCAC